TCGTTTCAGCCATAGCCAAAAAGACGGGGCGACCAAAGGAAGACGAGTGGAAAGAGGCAAGAAGCAAAGACGATGACAAAAAAGAGTAGCAAGAACTGAAGACGAAGTAGTTGAATCATTTTAAATTAAATTGTTATTTTACTGGCTCCGTTAGCCGTTGTTTTGTTCGTTGTCTGCCATTCCTTCTTACACAGTTAAACTTACACAGCACTGAAATTTCTTCTCTCTGAAAGACAGTCGAATAGAAATTGAAAAACAGGCTTAGAACTGTGAATGTCTGGATCTCACTGCGTTCGTATAGTGTTGAAAGAGCTACGGCAAAGATTACGCACGATAGAGACAGAGATCGAGAACGGCATCCGCTGGTTCCGAGACGCGAAGCAAACGAGGCAGCCAAAACTTACTTACAATGCATCGGGAGGAAAAGAGGTTCTGGGGATTCGAATGCGATCCACCCCACGGCTGCACGCGCTGTCGACCCCGTTTCATTTAGCGGGAGATGGCCGGTCACATCTTCCTGGAGGGCTCTAAAGAATTACTTCACTGATCAACTTTATACAGTTGTTTAAGTGCGTTTCTTTGGAGAAAGAAAAAGTTGCTGAATGGAACTTTCCTAAAAGGAAATTGACAATCTCACAGTTGCCGGATAATATTTCTCGGCATAGTAATGCAACCGATCGACTCGATACACGTAAACGGATTATTTTTTTATGGCCACGTGAATGACAACATCCACCACCACTGTGAGCACAATTTCGAGCAATGAAGCTTCTTTGAAAATTCACGTTAATAATAAATATAGTTCTATTAACTAGTAAGTTTAACAATTTTCAACAACTTCTGTTCCCGTACACGGATCGTAGTGAAATCCATTTCAAAAATGGTTCTGCGGTGCAAATACAATTTTCCGTCTGTAAAAATTGTCCATTGCACATGCCGATGGTATAAAATAGTTCTAGCAAAATAGGATAGACATAATATTATACACAAAGCCACTTATCGAGTATTGGGCCGGTGTTGAATTGTTTGGACGATTCTTCCGTGAAAGAGTTCCCAACGAAACTCCAGGTATCCTGCTGGATGCCATCCTGAACCTCGTTCGTTATCCTGAGCCTCGCCTGGATACCATTAATCATTCTTACATATTGCGAATGGTGTGAAACTTTATTGTTTTCCTGGCTTTCGCTGAGTAAAGATCGCTTTGTTTGAAGAACATCGAGTCCTTCAGATCGCGAATATCCCTAGGTTGTCTCCAAATAGTCAGTCCTACACCAGTAGCAGCTAGCTTCGATTTTCTTCGGCTAAGCCTCAAATGGGCACGTCGCCAAGCCCGTGTTTTAAAGTGTCTGCTTTCTCGTCGAGGCTAGCTAAGTTTCCGAAGGATCAAAAGGCACCATTGTAATGAAAATAAGCATTTTGTAAATCCACCGTTGTAGGGTTCAGTACCCATCATGTTGGGTCAGAATGGTTTTTTTCATTCTCGTCACGTTCACCACCGACAATATTAGCAATCTCCTGACACTTGTTTTTTTTTTGTAAACTAATAGTATTATAGATA